GTGTCGAGATGCAAACCTGGTTTTTGTTAATGTGAAGACAAGATTTCCACCCGTCTAACTTGTAAATTTTTGCATACCTGTTCTTCTGGAATGTTCCATCATATGAACATACAGTGGTTGCATCTTCCAGTAACGGTGGGTGGGGATTGAGACTACCTTCGGTGGAGGCATATTTAATTTATATAAAAACCATTCATACCTGCAAGATGGTGTGCCTGTATGTTCAGGGATAAATATTATTATTATCATCGTCAGTAAACACAAGGTCCTCATTGGATGTTTATATAGGGCACCAAGCACTTCCACAGCAGTTGATGAGATCATCTGAGAAATACTCGGGCACGCTGCCGCTCTAGACTTCCATTCTAAGATAACCTGTGGTGATCTCGACCTCCCTAGAGTAGACTGGGACATATGCGCGGGTCCCACAAACTGATTGCAGGTGACTCTGACTTCCCTGAGGTTAACTGGGAAGCTAGTCGCGGCCCACAACGAGTCGATGAGATACTTGCTGTCATAGTCATCTATGGCTGGAAGCAATACTTTTAGCGACCCACGCGCGGGTATAGTACACTGGACCTAGTCTCTTGCTGTGACATTATCCCTGTCACCACCTACGTCAGCAGCAAATTCTCTAACAGTGACCATTGGATGGTGTCCTGTCGCTTACCAGTCCTCCCTCCCAATGAGAAAAACAAAAAACTTCAAATTGTACTCGGCATCGAAGCTACAAGAATACAGAATGGGAAGTACTCATGTAGCTCATCAGGTGCTATTTGTGGGATGACTACTTTACCACAGCCTCACTAGCAGACATGCTCTCACTTTTCTACAGAAATATAGGGCTACGTCTAGATGCTGTTGCTCCTGTGAATACAGCCAGAGTTTACAAGGAGCCAGACCCATATACCCCCAAAATATTCCGCAATAAACTCAGGAAATTACCATCACAATGTCACTCGTCGAAAGACTTCATGTCTTTGTACTCAATTTATGAGACTTACGAACCTACTAAGACACTACGTGCGAAACACTCAGTGAACGAAGAGGTCGTCGCTCTCAAAAGCGGTTCTAGAACACACAAGCTGACGTCTCTTTTGAGTAAACGTCTAGAGCCATCAAGAGATACAGCCTGTCAACTACATGATAGAATGATGCACAACGACCCCCTCAAGGCTAGTGAACTGTTTAGCGAATCATTCGCAAATTTCAAGCATAATGTTTTCAACCTCACTAGTTTTACCCCAGTTGCTAGTAGTTCATGTACTGGAGCGGAGTTCGCCGTCAAAAGTATCACAGAGGCTGTCAAAAGCCTGAGGCCACCAACAGGTACGGGGATAGATGGACTAAACTCATTAGCCGGCAGAAATAGTGATGACATGCCTCTGTTCTTGCTTAAGACATTCACACTATCGATGGAAAGTGGGGAGTATCCCAGCGAGTGGAAAACCAGCTTTATAATTCCTCGCTACAAGTCCAGTGACAATAGGAATCCCAGTAACTACAGATCTATCGGCATAATGCCAGTCGTCCCTCGAATTGTGGAAAACGTGATTAAGAGCAGCATGCCTGACTACCTACTTAGAGAAAACCTCATCACAGAGTCTCAGCACAGTTTCATTAAAAACAGGTCTTGTGTTACTTGCCACCTCGATTTCTTCAACTTTACCACTAGTAGCCGCGAGGCACGTAAAATCGTCATTGTTCTATACTTCGATATATCAAAGGCATTTGACAAGGTGCTACACAGCATACTCTACGGTAAGCTGCAATCGATTGGCATTCATGACCCTTTACTTCATAGTCTAAAATCATTTCTCAATGATCGTAGTCAAATCGTCAAAGTAAATTCTGTGCAGTCTTAACCTAGGCTCATAACTGGTGGAGTAATACGGGGTAGTATCCCTGCGCCTTCGTTGTTCATAACTCATATTAATAGTGCGTGAGAGCGCTTCACTGCGGGGAAGCATTCCCGTATGCTGATGACCTCAAGGTTGTATACTGTCACACCTGTGAACCAAGCGATGCGATATCTACTGCTCAACAATAATTAGGTGAAGTTGCTAAACAATGTGACAGGTCCACCCCATGTTCAGCATTGGTAAATGTGGTTGGTTTATCATAGGCAGCGATAACCCAGGCATGTCTCTCGAAGTGTGTAAACAAAAGCAACCAGGACGTTTTTCAGTGCTAGATCTTGGTCTTAAATTTTCCAGTGACCTAACATTCTCCGAGCAGACGGCTTGTATCACATCTAAGTCACGTAGACTCTTGGGTGCATCATCCGTAACTTTTATAGCACTGAATCAAGGGTCCTACTCTACAGAGTGAGCACCCATCCGTTTTTAGAATACTGCCCTTTTATCTTAGGTGGCCTTCGTACAAGCGACAAAAGAATAAGTGAAGGAGTACAACGCCACTTTGCATCAATAACACTAAGAGCTGACTGAAGCCTAGACTATATCCCCACATGCGATATGCTAGGACTGGAACCTTTCTGGAAGAGACGACTTAGAATGAATCTTACATTTTGCTATGAGTCACTTCGTAAGCGCATGTACTCATGCTGCCCGGAATTTGAAACGGTTGTAACATCTACCCACTATTTACGTAGTCACAATCTATTAGCTGAAAATGAGTGTTGTGTGACCAAATTGCCAGGAAATTTCTTCCTCAATAAGCTCTCTCGCATCTGGAACAGAATTCCTTAGGAAATACGTACTGCAGGTTTAATATCTGCCTTTTGTTCTACACTTAACAAGCTCCTAACAGATGATGAGTCTATCACTCGCCTGGGCACTATATATAAGTTCTGGGCTAATGAAAACATACTAGGCCCTCTAAACGTATACAGTAAGGCTATTATAAATCTTAAATACCTTTTACCCCAGTGGACTTACGAAGGGTGTTTGATTACTGGTTCACCTGGTTGGATTGTGAGGGTTGAAAAGTACGAATATATGGCCAGTGTTCCCTTCGAGTCTACTTACAACAATCGCCTATCTAATAACTTATTCTTGTATGCACACACTGAAGTTTACATATAGTCCGGGTGACTCTAAAAAGACAAAAACTCTTCTCCTCCTAGTTGGTCTTGCATGGCATTCCACTGTCCAGTTCCTCTTCGCGCAGTCTTTTCTCTCTTTTTTTCAGTATCAACCTGACGAGAAAATCCTAAGCATTAATTTGATCAAAAAGTATCAACTTACTTAAAGTCCCACTTCGCACGTAATACTAGAAACTGATGTTAGAAGCATTCAGCTGGCTTGCCCTCGATTGCCTTTTTCTTCAGCAGCTTCACAACCAACTCACCCCTTACCAGTACCCTAAATAAAACCTCGTACTAAACCTCAAGCACAATAACTGGTCTCCGGTTTCTGGTCCCTGACAAATGCAGCGGAAATTTGGATAAGCGATCAAACCCGAGAGATCACTTTACCTAATGGCAGCACATCCATAATAATGCTATGCAACAGACTTCTCTAGTACTTTGTCTTGTATCAGTCCATCTGATAGAAGTAAATTAACAGCCAATGTGTCCCCTTGACAATGCTGCATACTTTAATGTGAAGTGTATGGCTTCCGGCATTTTCTGGCCTCGTCCCCATAGGTACTGTGAAACCAGCACCATTTAGGGCTTTCCACCCTAGTGATTCTGTGGAAGCATTTGACGCTACAGATATAAATGCGACTTTATGTTTCCCTTTTCACTTCATGCTGAATTTCGCTCTCTCATCATTTACAGGCGTTAAACTAAAAATATGTAGGCGAATACTTCAAATAACGCATTTCACGTGATGAAATTCCGAGTGCACAGACAAAAACTATGCAAACAAACAGGTGTAAACTTTTAATTCAATGCCCTGAGAAGAAATTTGCTTAAATCACATTGACGAAATGGTCTACTTTTCATTGGTTTCCACAAAGTTCTTGCTAAGGCCTAGAGAAGTAGGAAATCTGTCGATCAGCAGCATAGTTTTGCACCATGTTGAAACTGTTTTTTGGGATGGGAGGTAGACACCAACGGTAGAGAAGGTTTTGGCCCTTCGGAAGCCGGTAGATGGTGGAGTACATCAAATCCCACTGTCCATCCTGACCAGCGTGAATGAGCTGTCTAGGAACATTATTTCTCCAGTCGTGATGCTTGTTGACGGTGATAGTTTCCGGGGTTTTATTAACAGGACCTGATAAAGGCTGCCCCTACAGGACGATCTAAGTGCCAGGTAGATAGGTACGCGTGAAGGTGCCTGGAACTAACCACCACAAAGAACGCAGTCTTAAAGAATGCGGCGGCCCACATGGATACTTGGTTATTGACATGCTATCCGCACTAACTGAATACAAGTTTCATATTTACCCATAATTTCAAGCATTGTTTGGCCGAAGAATGGCAGCTGAAAGGGCTTTTGAAACTTTTGGAAGGGTCTTTCAGAACTTTAGTGAGAACATGTTCCGGATCTTGTATACTATATATGTAAAGCCTCATTAAGAGTGCAGAATTGAAGCAAGGAGCCTACCCTTTAAATATGGGGCTGACAAGCCGACGTGAATCCAGAGAGCAGGCAGCAAGGGGAGTGAGGGACTCTTCGACCCATCCTGCTAAGAAAGACTGGACAGATTAGGTCGTTTCCCACTGTCTTGTCGTGGAATGACGAGTGATAACGTTTTAGCATGTCATATCTTGAATGGTGAATTTTAACGACATATTCATCCCTCTCTTTTGGTACTGTTCGCCTGGTAAGGTGTCATCAAAAGAGTTCACTAATCATATTCAGACCATCTGTAAATACTTTCCTCTCACAGAGTTGTGAACCATTCGAACTCTGTTAGACTGTACATTGTCTGCACCTTTTGTTCACACTTTCAGAACGTGATTGAATTCCCTCATTAGTTCTACCAGTAAGGATCAATATATCTCCTTAGTATCCTTTCGTTATTGCCGAAGTGCGATAACTTAGGACCAAAAGGCATTTAACCTCGACAGGGTTGTCGTCAAGGTCAATCGTCCAAAGCGGCGTTATTGTAGACTTACTGAGTTCTCACCTCTTATTATTTATATTATTGAATGTGGATCTCTATATGCGTTATCAACTATTTCGATTCCCAACCAGGACTTATTGACATGCTTATGGGATACATTTAGACGTACACAAGTGTCATTAATCTGTTTCTGTAACAATGTCAAGTGTTGCAACCTCTGGTTTGCTTGGTCCAACTTCTGGTCTCATTCCTCAAGTGGTAGGGAATAACATTGAAGGTGAAAACGAAATTTCCACCCACAAACTTCAAAAGAAACCTCAGGATTTTGATTCGGAGACTGAGTCAGATTCTTCTACGGATGATGAAGATGACACAAGCGATGATGATAAGCGACTCGCTGACAATCCGATATTGAAAGAGCGCTTAAAACAACTCGATCGATATGCTACTCCGATAAAGCATCATACACTCTCACCAGTCCAGATTATTGATCCCCACATACTTCCAGGAGTGTATGTTACAAATTTACCATCTGACCATACACCCAATAACGGTTCCCTCTCTATCCATGGAAAATCGAGTGGACCTTCTGAGCTGATGGACAGTAGTTTGACGCCCCCAGAATATCGCTCTCGTCAACTTTCTCTTGTTGAATCTCCTACCCCCTGTAGTGGTCCTGCTTCTCTCAATACATCCGTCACTCCTAAACGTAATCTTTCTCCACCATATGCCATTTTGTGTGCAAGCACGAATGTCTCTGGACCGACTTCCCAACATGAGGTTTCAGATATTTCTGGTGCGTACCCTCATTTATCAAGTTCATTACCATGTAAGTCTAATGAGATTCCATCCTCATACGCTTATGGTCCATCTCTTAACTCATCTGATATAATGCGTTCAAATGACATGTGTTTTGATGAAGTTGAAGACGGTCAAGCCTGCATATGCGAAATATGTCATGTTGTCTTTGCTAATCAATCTTCCCTGCAAAGTCACATGAAAAAGCACATAAAGCATGATACTAAACGACACCAGTGTGATCAGTGTCCGTACTCTACACAGTATAGCAAGAACTTATTCAAACACATAGAATCAACGCATACTGCCGATAATACCCAGGAGTTTCGCTGTGAAGGTTGCAGTCGGTGCTTTACGAATGAAAATCTCCTCCGTGACCATGATTGCATTTTGGCTCAATACAATACCTATCGGTGCAACGAATGTGGCAGGGTATTCAAGACAAAACTGCGCCTAAAGTACCATGCAGATGTGCACAACCCTCGGAAACCCTATGTATGTGATATAGAAGGTTGTGATCGAGCATTTCGCACACCAAAATATCTCAAAAACCATCGCGACGAGTTTCACAGAATGCATCCCAAAAACTATGCTTGTCCAGTAGGACAGTGTGATCTAGTTTTCCATCGAAAAACCCATCTAAAGCGCCATATCGCTGCACATGATGGTAAGAATTTTTGCGGAAACGAGTCATTAACTCCTGTTTGATCGTTGCTTTTCCTTTGGGGTATTCATAAGATGTAGCAGTACTATCCAGAAAGAATATGAGGTACCCAGTCAACATTTTTGCGGAGAAAAGCGGGGCCATTTTTTAAACACGGGTCATTTCGCGGAGGTTGAAAACTCAGCGAAATGTCGCACGGTCATGCGTTTGTCCCGAGTTCTACCCCTTGTTTTCATGGCAATCTGAAACATGACTCCGAGTTTTGCCCTACGAAAACGTTGACTGTGTACTGTTGAAACTAGACAACGGTTCTGTATTTCTTTCACAACATGGACATTACCAAACCTAATGGAGCTTTCCTGTGTCACCTCATTGCCCAGTCACCGTCAAACCTCTGGATTTGTGAATCATTTGCCTATGCGGCTTGTTATCAGCCACATCACAGACTGTAACACTGTGTAGTGCACAGTATTCTTGTCACTCACTTTATATGTATGGTCTGCTTTCTAGCATATAAACTTACGCATTGTGTTTCAGTTGCATATAAGTTAGCTTTATCTGACTGCTTTGAACTTCAGCATGCCGAATTATTATAATTATGCAATCGGGACAGGATATTGTCTCTCATTCGGAAGAGGCCTGATGTCGTTCCCAGTCTGCTAGCAAGGCGGCGTTGAAGACTGCAACTGACTCTAAAAAGGAGCTTAGAAGGAGTCGGTGAATCCCAAGAGCTTCAGAATTACCTGATAGACATAAATTCATTCATGCACGCTCCGAGCACAATGAGAAGCGGAAGCAATTCTAATGTATGCTGAAAAGAAGTCTAATCAATAACCATGCGCAGTGGTGGGTAGAAAGATCTAAAAAGACGTAGAATGTCACTGTGATAGATAATGGTGGGCAATTATTTAGACTGGTCTAAGAAATTGACGTAGAAAAGATAACGGTTCACGAGACTGTAGTGGAGAGGGATGCCTGCGATTTGCTTGCGGGCTAAACGACTAGAATAATGTTTGGAATATTTCAAAGATCACTTTAAATGGCCTCCAGCTACTACTCCATCGGCAGCTCTCTATAGTCGAATCCCAACTGGAACATCTAGACATGGTTTTCAAGGCTTGCGGAACTTGAAAAAGGTTGTAAGTAAGGCGAAACGAAAAAGGATGGGCAAGCTAGTACAGGATGAATTTAAGGACTGTGGTCGATGATTATTGGTTAGGTTAACTCAAGTACTAGCTGGTATGTGGGATTCATATGATACCCTCAGACTGGTCCCAACCACTGATCTTCTCAGTTGTTAATAAAGTATGCCAATATCCTTGTGATCTTAATAGAATCAGTTTAGTGGTCCTAGGTCCTAGTCTTATTAAATGCTTGGGGATAGAATGCCCGAGAAAACTGGGCAGATTTCATACCTGGTCTTTATTATGTCTACCGCATATTCACTTTACAGTTTCTGAAACACATGCACACTTACCGACGTCGGATAATAGCTATATTTCTTGACCTGAAGCTGTCATTCATTGCCATCGATCGAAAGATCTTATGGTAGTGTCTCTAACTGAAATAGGTGCCGAGTACATCACTCTGTTAAAGGTTTTGTACTGGAACCCCCGCGGGCGTGTTGGAACGTATAGTAAGGTAACAGGTGAGTTGTTCGTCAAGGATGCCTGCTCTCTCTAATCTTATTGGGTTTTGTCATCAAGGTACTGGTGGAGGTCTCTCCTAGTCGGATTACAGAATTGATCTTGTTGCGGGAGACTCCTTAGTAAACAGAGTACACAAATGACATAGTGCTGTTAGTTGAACTCCCTGACAAGATCCAGTCCTCTGGAGATCTTCAGTGATGATTTAAGAATACTTGGGATGAGTTTACTACCACTCAGATGCGAATTGTCGCTCCACGATTTGTTTTCATTTATGCTTTATCTAACAATAAGGAGAGAAAAACTGTTGAGCACGTTAATTACTTCACTTACTTCGGAGGTCGGTTCAACCCCGGTGACCGACGGAATCTCTGCACAGATACAAAAGGGCTGTTTAGTTTTCACCTTGGGCCATTTAAGGTGCCATTGTGACAACAAATTAGCTATTAAACGTAGATGGTACTGTACTGCAGTTCACTCTGTCGTACTACATGATTGTGAGAAATAGCCATTAGAAATAGAGAACGTGGAAATGCGTCAGGTGTTCGACCACCGTTGCTTTTGTAGCATAAGTCGTGTATCTTGGTGTCACTAGGCAGTAACTTTAAAGTCAGACATAGTTTTGGGCAGATGAAGAAAGTCAGTTGATGAGGTTGTAAACCTTCGTTGGCTCAGGTGACTAAACATGTGTTGCATATGCCTAGTCACCATCTGCCCAGTCGCAAAATGTTAGCTAAAGTAGGTCCAAGCTGGAAGGGGGTTAGAAATAGTCAGATTAAAACATGGCATCAGTGCATGAAGTCTTTGACTGTTGGTCTGAGCTGTGCAGCGAAGTGTGAACTTCCCGATTGGGTCCTGGTGGTTGGAGACTCTAAGCGACATGGCTTAGAATTGATCTCAGTAGCGCATATGTATCCCTGTATTAATCATCGTACGGAACTTCATTACTTTCTGATTCCTTCTTATCCTTACTTCATGACTTCGAACCCCTGACTAACTTTCTTCGTGTTTCTTCATATTTCATCTTGACCCATGCTCTCTTGGTTTGATATGTGGTGACTCCGACTGTTACGCACTAATGCCAGATCGCATGTCAGTATTGACTTCAGTCAGTATCAGGACTTGGCATTATCGTATAACAGTATAATGTGTCACACCTTATATCATCACAATCGAAAAACATGGAAACACGTTGAAAGACTGAAATATCGAAATCATAATATCGGTGGAGGTCAAAGAATGCCATAAAAATGAAGTGAAAGCAAACAAATGACGGGATGCAATATGCTGGTTAGAATAAACGTAAGGTTCATGGTTCAAGCTTTGACTGGGCACTAATGTAGACTGCCACTTCAAGCGGTTGTCTAATTTCATATTCTAAACCCACTGACTATTCCAAGTAGTCATTTTTTCTGCGGTTTTTCAAAAGCAGGCTACTAGGATGAAATAAAGCTTACTGGAGTAGTTGTATCCACTTTGTGATTGTGTTCCACTTTTTATCTTGCGTAGAATATCATTCACCATGTGAACGACTTTATTTTCATATTTTACTTGTATCAAATAATGTAGATTGCTTACAGACGCCTACATATTTACTAAATACGTATTGTTAACGACGTGTGTCAAAGCGATTTTGGTTAAATGTTCAGGGTTGACGTACAGTATCCCATCTGTCGCATTTGAATCACATTCTCTGTTTGCTGAAATGCCCAGTTGGAAAGGCTAAATACCTATTCGTATACTAGTTATACATAGCCTAGCTAGCACTATTCATCCACAAAGTGTTGAATGCCAATATTTCATTTCTGGTGAATGAATTGTCAAGTTCAGTAACTACAGAAGTTACATCTGGAAGCTAAGACTTTCTCTTCATCCTCTGTTAGTTTGGGTAATAAACTGACAGTATAGGGTCGGGTCTTATTCGCTTCGAAATAAGTTTTTACTGTAATCACCGTTGGCTTATGCTTTCATTCGTTGTTTTGATCGGAAGTTTACCGTAAACTTTTCTTCGGATTACAGTACCAATTGATAAGGTTTCTAATGTTTGAAGTGTGTTGTATGGGGAACCGAAGGCTTGCATGTAAAATTTCATGACAGGTGGAATCGATGGTTCAAAGCTAGATGATATATTTCAAGATTAGTTTCAGTACCGTAGTTTCTTCCATTTGTTATCTCCCTCTAAATTTTAAGCCCAAACTAACCTTTAGTACCACCATGTAATGCTATACTAGATGATGTGCTTACTGAATCATAAAAGAACAGAAACAGTAAAATAAAGCACTATAAAAGGTAGTACATTTGAAGAAATAATAGAAATGTGGAATTAGAGATGAAGAAATATTATACGTGATAACAATAAAGATAGTAAAGGGAAAAAGCAAATGAAAATAAAAGTGAAATTCAATCCCTTTTACATTTCTTAGAACTCACCTAACTATGTATGTAGAAAACGACCCACAGCGGGATTCTAACTGACCTCAATTTTCGGTTATAAATGATAAGATCATAAATCAGTTGGGCATTGGGATTTTATCCACAGACCTACTATGCACTCTTAACTCCCAACCGAGCGTAACTTTTCTTCAGTGTACTTTGTCAGAAACCTCGAAAATCCTGCTTTTCCTGACCAGTCCTGGCATCAACAAATAGTATTGAACTCGGAAAGTATTAAAATGGCACACATAAAAACTGCTAAAGTTGCCACATCTAAGTTTTTGAAATAACTCCATGAATTAAATGATAAACGAATATAAGTTAACAGATCTCAGAATTATACGTCAATATATAAGCTGTCATTATAATGTTCAAGTAACCAAAATTGTTATAAATCATGAAGTTAAACTGAAACATGATAGCAGTTGCTTAATGATTATTAGGTTTTGATAATAAGCTGCCTAAAATGACAAAGATTTCGAAACTTAAATCTAGTCAGAAAGAGCATGGATACGAGAATGGATAGTAAATAATGTAGGAAGTGGACGGAAGACAAAGAAAGAAGTGATTTCAAAGAATATAAATTGACCATGTAACAGGAAGGCATTCAACAATTTTTATGTGTACAAAGCGCATGATTCTCCATATGGATGGCAAGGGTTTTGGAAATACGAAAAGTTAGAAGACACACAAGATAGTATTCCTAGACCGTTTTGGATAACTCGCATCAAACGACCTATATACATGGCTCTACAAGAGCAAGTCCATCGTTATACACACAAGTGGTCAGGTGCAGAAGTTTTCCTTCAAGCTGTTATAAAAAACGGATTGGCTTTAGGATACTCATTTTAGAGTTGATGGATAGAATGTCCTCTTAAAGGAGTGTGGTGTCTTCCTCTTTCAAGTTTCAACGACGGAATCACCTTTGATATTTAGATTCATATAGAACATTTTTGGCACGAAGACAGGGTTTGTGAGACTTTGGTTTTATATTCCTCCATACGAACTGTGACAGAAACTCGTTATCAGCAAGGATCTTTCCTAGAAGAAAAACTTCTCTGAATATATTGGAGCTGCGGATTCGTCAAAAATGCAAGTAGTAAGAGATGTTTAGATTGCTTTTGCGACCCAGACATACACCTTCAGCAGTTGACCATTCACCTAAGCTTTCTTTAAATCGGTTTCCTTAGCGTTCCATCAGCTTTTCCTACCAATCCTACACCGAAAAAGAGTCCTTGTTCCATTACCCACCTTGAAAGTGAATCTAGTTGCTGAATGGTAACTGCTCAATACCTGTTAAATATGATTCTGGTACTATTCGCATACCCTTTGTGCAGTTAAAAAGTAATCAAGAATTTCAAGGATTTGTTTGCCAAATTGATCACCAAACACAATTCTAGTTATAGTTATCTTGAAGATCTCACAGAGATTTTATCTTACTGTTTATATGTCACGTCGTTGAATGCAAATTGAACGTTAAACGCACATCTAAGCAACAGTTTCTTACGACCAGAGGTCAGCATTCCTGTGGGTAAAATTTTGTGATAGGTCTCATGTGGATGTCCCGTGAGATCTATGGCTAAACAAATATATTTCTCTTCCAGTTAGCTTCCACTATGTGGGCAGTCGGAAAGTATCAACCGCCCACACGATACCATTAGCACACAAGACACAATCAAACATAACCTATCCTCCTCAACGCTGCCTTCCCCTTTGCCTTCACCTCCTGATACTAATATTGGGCCTCCTACGCCCTACTCAACTTCTCACTCTGAAACTCATGCCAGCAATCAAGGTCATCGAAACCTCATCCCTAGTCTCCTAAGATACCGCCCCCATCGATGTCATGTTGGAGCCTTCAACATCTGAACTCTAAGCCAAATCAGATAGCCAGCATCGCTCACCAGAACTCTACAATCTCTGACCATGGATGTATGTTGTATATCTGAGATACATATGAAGGACCCGAGTATGGTCATTGAATTAACCTCATCCGGTTATAATAGTGAATCTTCGAAATTCACCTTATGAGTATCTGGAGTCCTAATGGCTGACTCTCTTGGACTCCTTGGTGTAGGCACAGCATTGGGCTGTAGGACACAAAATGTGCTTCTTGACTGGATGCCAGTTAACAGCCATCCATGTGCTGTTCGACTGAATAGATCTATGAAGACTGGGAACGACCGTGCGACCAACGGATGCCTATTCATAATCTGGGCCTACGCACCCACCAGTTGTAGTTCGGATGACGCAAAAAATGAACTCTATGAAAAGCTGTCAATTTTGCTACAGAAAGCAAAATGTTCAGATAAAGTCATAGTGCCAGGTGACTTTAACGCTCAAATGGGGAAGCTGAGTCAGTTGGAGAGGTATCTATGGAATCCCATGCGAACGAACCGACAACGGTGATCGTCTATTGCGATTTCGCTCCGACAACCACTTGTTTCTGGTCAGCACTAACTTTAAGCATAAAGACAGACACTGCCTCGCATGATGTCCGCCGACTTCAAATCAACAACGGATAGGGGTAAGTCATATTGCTATAAACCGTTGTTGGAGAGAATCGGTGGGGGATTTCTACTCGTTCTAGAGTACCTGTTTGAACTCTAATCACGTGCTAGTATGGGCTCGTGGTTGTCTTTGCCTTACTGACCGCAGGGAACAGACGGAGGTGAAGCCTGTTCATAGTCGATCGAAAGGACAGAACTTCAAGCCTAAATTTTAGGAGGAGTTAGCTAAGCGTTTATCAGAATATGACAGCAATGCTCATCCTGATGAAACTCGGTGCGATATTAGGTCAGCGGTAGAGACAGTTGGTAACCTTCAAGTGAAGGTTGGCACCTGTCAAATCTAAGATAATGCTCCAGGAATGATTTGCAACCACTTCCATTTTAACGATGGAGAGTTAATCAATTGCTGGAATGTGTCAACCACTTCACTTACTTGCGGAGTTGCACCAGCCCAAACTGGCTGGTTGCTGACGAAATTTCAGCTCGGATACAGAAGGCGCGTTTGGTAATGGACAACTTTCTTCGTCTCTTGTGGCAGCTGGCGAGGTATCTGACTATCCATCAAGAGATAAATATGCGGTAATGCATTCTGTTCTATTATACGGCTGCGAGACATGGCCGCTAAAAGTAGAAGACATAAAGCGGTCATACGGTTTCGATCACAAAAGGGGTCAGGCGAACGGCACTAGGCAAGACAGGCAAGTCAGTCGATGAGGTTGTGAACCTTAGTCAACTGAGATGGCCGCGACATGTGTTGTGCATGCTGATCCACCGCCTACCTCGACATGCCACGCTGAAGGAGGTTGGATTTGGTCGGGAAAGGGTCCAGAATGACCAGAAGAAGACGTGGCACCAATCGATGAAGTCTCTGACTGTTGGTCTGAGTCGTGTGGAGAGATGTTGACTATCTAGTTGGGGTCCTCGAGACAAAAGGAATCAGTGGTTGAAGACTCTAGATGACATGGCTGATACTCTTTCGCAATAGTACAGATGTATTCACTCATTGAAGCTTTCTAAAGCTTAAACATCCACACTAACTATTACCTTCAGATTGTTTATTCTCTCACACAACTTTGTTTACTTTGATGGCATTCCTTTTCTATCCACCTGTTCTTTGTATACTACTGTACAGTAGGGTAACTTGAACTGATACACTTTTGTGCGACATTCTATGTTGATTTTGTCAATCAATCATGCAACGGCACTAAGGTAGTTACCTGGTTCTACAGCCGTAGGATATTTTTTCCTGTTATGGTACGTTAACATGTAGTATTTTAGTGTTCCACAAGAAGTGGCTATCGTGACTCATTCGTCTAGTGGATAGCGCTTTGGTGTTTAATGAGATTGGTCCTGAGTTCAAGTTCTATTGGAAGCAACTTCGCTCACTGCGTGGCAGCTGGATCTAGCTGACGAGTCCCAAATGGGACGAAACTCTTGTCCTGGATTCTACTGCTAGCCACTGTCTATCATTAATAATGTAGTACTTTATTTCTGACTAATTAAAGTTTTGTCTTTGGACTCTTTTTCTACATTTCAGATTCGGAGAAGAAATACCACTGTCAGTGGCCTAATTGCCAGCGTCGTTTTTGCAGTGAAGAAACGTTGAACCTTCATCATCGTAAACACACGGGTGAAAAGCCTTTTAATTGTGCTCTTTGTTTATATAATTGTTACGATAAACCAAGTTTAAATGAACATTATCAACTACATCATACGAAGGATACAAATATTGTTTATAATTCTGAAGATCTTGATCACCAAATGGCTTCATCCAACCCATCACAACATACTTCAGAAAAACTTGCTTACAGAAGACCTTTTGATACTAGGACTTTAGTAACAAGAACATCTACCCCTGTTCCAACTCTGCGCCATAGAATGGCTGACATTCTAGATTCATGTACTTCTCAGGTTCCTGGACCTCTTGATGCAGAAATTAATGGTATTTTGGATAGCTTTGACAAAGAACCAGACCTACCAGACTTATTTAGTAGTGGACCACTTGAAGTGGATCGTCCAGCTACAGAACTCAAGTTTACAAATAATTTGAACCAGAACTTCAGTGGTCGAATTTCTCCACTTCGTCAAAACAGCCAATCATCTTGCGTGGCTGCATTGCCGCCATCCTCCTCAGTTAATTCCACAAATGCGGACTCTGGGACATCTGAATCAAGTTTCACATCAGTTTTGCCTAATATTCTCTCCGAGCTTCAGCGTGCAGAACTATCGGGTTCCACTGAAGAATTCGAAAAAGTCAAATCGCATGTTTTATCTGTACTTCCGACATTTGTGATTGGAGACGAACTAACTACACAGATTAACGAGATTGTGGACGAAGTTAATGATGCATTGGCAGGTCAACCATTTCATGTTATACGGGCAGCTTTCCTTACAACTCGGCCTTTTACTCATGAAGAATCGTATATGGTTGATCTACTAGAACAGCAAATGTTATCTGAGTCTTCTTTAATAGCCCCAAATCCTCCCAGAAGACGTGGTAGGCGTCCTAAACTTCAACAACAACTACAACCTTACCTTCAGCGTATATTTTGTTTAGAATCTGGCGCAGCAGAATCGATGGCATCACATTTAGTTGATGTTTCGCAAAAAGATAAGTCCACAAATCATTACGCATACTACAGAAGTGTTGGGTTTGGAAGAAGTAGAGGTCATCGTGGTCGTGGTAGGTCTGGTAAACATCTTTCTCTGACTACGAAACTTCTTTCTGATGAATCAGTTTCCAGAACTAACCATTTTAATCGGTCTCTGTATCATCCATCAGAAATAAACATGTGCACCGATGGATTTACAAGTAAAAGTCGGTGCGGTGACATACAAGGTGGATACCTCACTGAACAAATATCCAGTGATATGCATCCTAATTTTTCTAGTGACATCAATTCACAAAGAAATCTAACGGAGCAATATCACACTAATACGGAATTAACCAATAATTTAAATCATCCAAATCATCTACCCACAATCCATTCACATCTGCATTCAGATAACTATAATTACTCCAATAGGAGATTTCATTGTCCATCAGAAATAAGTCCCTTAGAAATGGGTAGGAAATTCCGAAATTCCGACGATGAATTAGATGAGACGCAAAACAATGATACTGTAACACACACGTATATGCATAGTCGACGTAGATCTTTAACTGTTCACGAAAATGATAGGATGAATGATTATGCTATAAAAGAATCCCATTTTGAACATTCGAAAAATACAAGACTAGATAGTTCATACAAGGAAAGGGAATTTTTAAGTCAAGATACGCTTGGTGAGATGTTGGAAGACTTGGGGGTTATAGTACAACAAATTGGAGAGCGAGCTGTGGTAAGAAAACAACAGAATTACGCAGATGGCCAACCACTCAATCTATCCGACTTTGGAAATAGTAAGCAAGGTTCTGGTTCTACTAATAATCAGCCTCTTCATACCAAAACTGAAGTAGGTGTGCCACCCATTCAACTACCATCAATGGCAACATTGGCTTCAAGTAGTGTGAGCACACCTAGCATTGAGGGGAGTACTTCAGGTTGCATTTCAAATGCTGGACTTCAGATTATGTCTCCTCATTTGTCTGCAGCGTCTTTACACGGTGTATTATCTTTGAAATCCCATGCCTACAATCAGTCTGGTACATTAGTGTCAAACGCTGAGACTTTAATTACAGGAAATCCACCTGCCATTATCTCAAATGCTTCTCGGACAACTGAGCAGTCAGTATACAATTCAGCTACTAATAACTACCGTCGAACTGCACCTGTATGGTCTTGTGAGTCGATGTGTTGCTCATTTACTCAAGAGAATGAACTTGGTAAAGCCGATCGATCTTGTTCGAGTAACAATTTTTCTCCTCAAGTTAGTCAAACAAGAATTTCTCAGGCTACAGGAAACTACGGAAACGAAACAAATGGTGACATCAATCAGTGTTTTTATCCAAAAGATTTGAGCACTAGAGTGTTATCTTTTAGTACTCGTCCAGACTCTGTCTGTCAGTCACCGATTTCACCAAAATCTTTCGCACACGCTGAACCCCGCGATCGTAACTTCACATACATGGTACCTGAATCACTAACGAACCATCCAGTTCATTTGTCTTCCAAAACCTCATCACTGGGTTCTTTGATATCGGCAACAGAGGCAGTTGATCATCTGCGTTCTTTGTCTGCTTTAGGAGCAAAGTATACGGCAAGTCTTGAGCCACCAGATGAGAAAAAATATCAATCCTACCAACGTTTGGGTCCTAGTAACTTTAGTTTTAGTCACTCCCAAATTCATTCAAACAGTTCGCCGCTACATAATTCCTCAGAACATAATGAATCAGTAGCTTCACAAATATCGCGCAAGTCGGCACTGATTCCAGCTACAAGTGCACTTGGCCCCAATATTCCATCAGCACTGAACAATCTCCTCTATCGTGAGTGAATAAATTTTTATTTATTTAATCTATTAAACCCTGGTTACTTACTGATATAATGATATGCGTTGACACTCATTAGAGCTCAAAAAATGTTGATTTTATCAAGTAGTACTTCTTAATCGGTGTTCAGTAACTGAATAACTGATAACTCTGGGTGTTTAACTGTTAGTGAACAAGTTCGACGCCGAGAAATTCGATCTAACCTTGAGTCAGTTAGATCTACGGAATGGTAAAAATAACAATCCTTTCCAATCATTTCATCATCTCTTTTTTTAGCAACACGCTAAGCAATGATGTCTTTGAGGAGAATTCCATCTTCGCTCGAAAATTCATGGAGAAACGACATTCATTGAAAAAACCAGTATTTCTTCTAAGCTGAGGTTTTTATTAGAAATGATGGATTTATCACCAACATATTCTCGGTGGTGTTTAAAACTTTTGACTTGTGTTTGTTTTTTATGAGCTTAAACATAAAGACATTTACCTGAAGGGAGTCAGTGGAGACTCTGTATTGACTTCATGTTTCTGGTGGCAGGTGTTTTTTACGATGAACTGCATAACAAAGGTGGACATTTAGAATATTTCTCAATGATACTATTCACAGATATAGGCTAGTATGACTAGTCCTGACTTTACGTTAATCTTGTCGAAAATCTTATTTCTTGCCATCTTCTCAGAAGGGCTTTCTTATATAAGGCATTGGTTTTCGATTCTTCATTTTCCTATTACTCTACCTGTTCATATACGCGGTCTAAAATCGACTAGACAACGCCTGCTGTGTACCTCTAATCATGTATATTACTACCTTTGGTCATGGCGATAATTTTGTGCAATGTGATTTTCTTGTACGTACCTTCAGAATGTTACCGTTGTTTGGCAAGTCGGAGTATCCGATTTTACAGTTGATATGATCGTCAACCAAAAAGGTTGTTTATAGGAATGGAGCTGTAGCTGACGTTCACTATTGTTGTGATGACTGTCTGCATATTATTTGTTTGGTTAGGAATAACATTTTTCATCAAAAATTGATCCTTCAAGCTATACATGTCACCTATGTGTGCGTCAACTTTGTGTCACTTCTCTGTACCAATGTTATATTATTTTTTTTTCTGAATCAATTAACTGACCATAACATTGTCTTTTACTGACGGGAAGTGTTGATCACAGTGTCCAAAGACGATATTTGGTCAAATAATTTATAGTTAATTGTCTATAACAACTGTATAAAAAGCCTCATTTTTCCACCTGAATATTAGTAGCGATCAACCAGAGAACCTGTTGATACTCACCAGAAAATGCAATTTAAAAAGACATATTCTTATTGAAAGGAAACATGAATGAATAGCTACACGTGCGTTCCGATAACAGCATTCAGACGCCTTAACAAAGATTATATTTAAGATAAGGTTAAAATTGATCAGTATTTTGAAAACTTACAGAATTATCAGATTTACCCATTCATTTATGGATTGTGAGAGACTTAGCGAAATGTATTATCCAAGATTGAACATGATTAAGAAGAATACCATCCATATTAGATCGTGCTATATCAAATTATACTCTGCCACAGTGCCCGGGTTTTACTCTTGCATTAAGGAAGAGTATGTTTTTGTAAACCAAAGGATGCTACTCTGCTTTCTGTAACAAAGCATCAAAAAGAATGTTTTCGTTTTGGCTTAGTTATAACTGATACCTTATCTCTGGATGTATTTTCCAAGTTTTATTTGTTTGGTGGTAGCTAGCAGTTGACTCTAGGGCGCTCGTTTTCTTATTTGGGCCTGTCAGCTAAGTGTACTTGTATCCTACCGAGTTATAATGATGCCATTGAGATTCGAGCTCAGCACCCATTGCTTCAAACGCCGCTGTATCCACTAGGTTACTGAGTCACGAGAGCGGCCTCTTGTGGAAGTGTGACATCATCTGATACTTATTGATATTTACCGTTTCCGAATGATAATTTCAAATGATTCATCAAAAATCATCTGTTATTAACTGTTACTCGTTTGTTTAATCCATTTCGTTGAAAAACATTATTTCCTGTATAGTTGATTATTTTTGACTTCCTAACTATAATCTCTAATTTCTTTTACCCAAGTTTAAGTTTCTTTTGGCAGTATTTGTATATCTTAGGTACGTCGCCAATCATTTCTCATTTGAATGTGTAGTATTTACATTTGGTGAATATATCTAATACTTAACAATAATAACAATAACAGTAATGATAATAATGGCTATATCTGACCATTAATATATCACCTTACCACCTTCAATTGATATTATTCATTCTAGTCTATCTTCATAGGTTGCAGACATTATTATGAGTGAAGTTTCAAGTCTATGATAGAGTATAACCCCATATTAAATGTTTGTTTAATATAATACATAGTGGTAAAGTACTGTCTGTTTGTGCCCGAAACGTCATCTAGTAAATAATACTTTGTCACCAAATACTAAATCAAATAAACGTATTTAATGTGTAGACATTTTTCTTCACCTTTTTATTCTGCTGTATATGTCGAAGTTCAGTCTGCTTATGTGTCACTTTGTCGTGTCAATTGTGTACTAAATTCATTAAACCTAAGCGCACGCGAAATGGTAACTGCTTCAAAAGCGCATTCTTAAGCCATACTCTACTCTCTTATTTGTAAAACATTGTCCATACTAAAAAAATTTGTATTTCGTTCATCATTTCATCTCAGCTCCAGAACTCTAGAGCACACTAACTTTGCTAACTGATTCTTCTGTATGGCAGATTGTACCTCTTTTTCTAGACCACCTAAACCGTCTAAAATCTAGATTTTCGATATCTTTATCACGAGGAGAGAATATGTGTAGTATAAGTAAATTACTAATTATTAATGAAAAGCTTGCACATGGTTTATTTCGTCTATATACCTCATTATCAACACTAATTTCTGTATGTCAACTTTTTTCTACTCCTTTTATCGAATTAAGTTTAGTTCCATTTTGGATTCGTCCGTATTAACGCTACGTAAGACAAATATGCCCTCCTATTTTTTTTAAGTCTTCTGTATGTAAACTTTTTAACCCTTTTCTCAAACTGACAACACACCCAAATGAAATGGAAGGAAAACTCATCATATATGTACATAAATACCTTTAATCATACCATGTCTGGATTTAAATCATGTGCCGTCATCAACAGCCAAATCTGAAAAGTTCTTAAAACGACCGGATACTGAAAAAGTATAACTGGTTATGTGATGAGTAGAAGCAACTCTTGCGTTGATTCCTACCATCGAGATAATCGTTCAGCTCTATAACCACAAACAGATTAAGCGCCATAGATAGATGGACAGAAACTTTAATGAAGTTTTGCACGTGTTTGAATCAGTCCGACTTGCCACACTTCACAACAACAAAGCGAAAGTGAGTAATGTATTAAAATATACAAAAACTAGATGTGTATATGTGAGCGAGATAGGGAATAAATAAATAAAAGTTGGTGAGATGTACAAAGTTATAAAGATGATGAATAGTGAACGCATTTGGGCTACTGTGGTCAGTCTTGAACCAATCCATCAGGAATCTGTAACTATTGATTCCTAACATTCTGAGGACCGTTTCCAGATAGCACGCTCTTCTTTACATGACTCAGACTGAGAGGCACCGACTTCATGTGTTGGTTCTCTGTCGTAGTTTGGCCACTCGTTGCCTTCTTTCAATGTACTCGTAGCTCATCTACCGTCGGTCATCAAAAAAGTGGTAGATTGGTATGCGTGACATGTGTGCTAGCCAATCCAGTCAACACCGTTCCATTTCGTGAACTAGCTGTCATTTGTCACGTGGAAATCCAAAAATAACTTCCATGGTCGAACGCCTACTTTCAGAATGTCTGTTCCCGATGACCGTCCCAACTGTAAAGTGTGGTAGAGTTTATCATTGTGCAATGTGCTCAACCTCCACAGGGGTCTTTGTAGCATTGCTCACGTTTGGTGGAATAACCGTGTGAGCAGTCTTGAGGTCAGGCGAACGGCACTAGGCAAGACAGGCAAGTCAGTCGATGAGGTTGTGAACCTTAGTCAACTGAGATGGCCGCGACATGTGTTGTGCATGCTGATCCACCGCCTACCTCGACATGCCACGCTGAAGGAGGTTGGATTTGGTCGGGAAAGGGTCCAGAATGACCAGAAGAAGACGTGGCACCAATCGATGAAGTCTCTGACTGTTGGTCTGAGTCGTGTGGAGAGATGTTGACTATCTAGTTGGGGTCCTCGAGACAAAAGGAATCAGTGGTTGAAGACTCTAGATGACATGGCTGATACTCTTTCGCAATAGTACAGATGTATTCACTCATTGAAGCTTTCTAAAGCTTAAACATCCACACTAACTATTACCTTCAGATTGTTTATTCTCTCACACAACTTTGTTTACTTTGATGGCATTCCTTTTCTATCCACCTGTTCTTTGTATACTACTGTACAGTAGGGTAACTTGAACTGATACACTTTTGTGCGACATTCTACTTTGATTTTTCCTGTTTGTCTGTACTCAACCTTCAACAGACCGTGTACGTTAATCACTGTGAGATAATTGTCTGATTTCCGGGAGACGATGGAACTCTCCAAACCAATGAACTGAGTTCAGTCGATCATTTGGACTTGCTCATGACATGAGATCAGTCTCTGAAGAATTGGGCGTAAGCGGGTATTCCCTCATTATGTCTTTAACAAATATGAAAACGCAGTATTTGTAGAGGAAACCACGGCTTGTCATCACCTGGGACGGCAAATTTCCACATGCTTTTACACAACATAGCTTCTAGAAGACAGCTGTTGTTAACTTTGCAGCATCTGCCCTGAACGAAGTTGGAAAGTCTTGTCTTGATTTTCTAGATACGCTAGGATTATATTAAAACTTACTTATGCAATGATATTTTTCTCTGTTCAAAAATAATCCATAACCTCAATAAACTGAGTTAAATCTCAAAACGTAAAGAATTCGATAATTCACACAACCAAAAGCCTGACGCATAT